TTCAATATTCTCAGAAAATACACCATCTAAATTACAAAAAAAATTTCTCAAAATTTTTCCAGAAATTTTTGGAAAATTTGGAAAAAATATTCCGATTACAATTTTTTTTTACCCGGGATGATTTATAACAATTTCAACGGCTGTCGAATTGTATATTGATTTTTTTTATTCCAAATTTTGAATACCAAATGATTAATTACCAAAAAAAATGATCATTTGTTCAAAACCAGAATTTTAGACAAACACATGAATATTTTTAAAAAACTATAAATATTATAAATCTAATCATCTGTGGTAAAACTGACCCTTATTATTAATTACGAATAATATTAACTGCATATTAATTATAAATCATGGAAAAATCGTATTTTTTCACTTCAATCTAAATACGTGCCATTCCTGAGTATCAAATAATTTTTGTAATTCGTTTTGAATTATCCCAATAAATAAACAATTTTCGTAAATATAATGTATGTAGAGGGGAAAAAATCACTCAACTCGTTTTCATTCACAAACATTCCCCAACCCCGAGAAATGATTGTATTTATTCCACTGTCGTTTTGATAAACTGGCACGTCGTATGAGTGTACAAACCGGAAGTCGTGTGGTGGAGCGTGCTCAGCGTTGTCAAGCAATAAAAGGGGTTTTGAAAGAGGCGGTACAAAAACCTCCACCCGGAATGCCCTGTCAGACTGAATTTACAAATATACAGACGTTAAATCTGCGTCACTTGATGGGTCACAGGAGCTGACAGACAAATGGGCCTTTACTCGATTTTTTCCTCAATTCTGTTGCCCATTTTTCCACACGCCTCAACCCGCCCTCCCCCACCGACTACCACCCACCTCTCGCCAAACTTTTTTCATCCACCGTGATTCAACGAATACGAAATTTCCAGAAAAAAAAAATTCCACGAATTTTTCAAAACAAAAAAAAAAATGAATATTGCATATTTATTCGACGGACGGAGAGAGAATAGCTGACCGTAAATTCATGCAGGAAAAACTGCATAAATAAAGCTGGGGGTGGGAAAATAGAAATGAAAGTGGGAGAAAAAAAATTAAAATAAATTGATGGAGTGCGCAGTCAAGGGACTCGGTGGTTTTTTTGTTTATTAACGGTCCAGTTTACTTCGATGAATCTACTTTGTAATGAATGATTCTCTTGGGGATTGCAAAAAAATTTTTTTCTCTTGAAAGTCTCGAGAAAAAATGGAGAGAAATGGAACACGGGGACAACATGGAATATTTATTAAATCTTCGTATTTAATTAATTTATCCTATGTTGTGATTTTATAAACAAATAACAATAATACTCCGAGAGGAGAGGTACCGGTGTACATTTTGGTTTAAATATTATTTCCACTTGCAAAATTCAAATTTATTTGAATAAAATGGGACTTTACTTCTACGTGATATTTTTTAATGGAATTATAAATAATGCTTTTAGTAATACTAAATAATAGGTATTCCATCTCGATCAATTAAGTCATCATATTTCATTCCGAATTAATATTTAAAATCACATGATTAAAAATTCAGATAGCGGATTGATTTATAATGAAATTTCAAAAGATCAACAAGAATTTTCATTTTGGTAGAAATGTTTTAAAGGTCTTGAAAAATTGTTGTTATAATTATCCTACAGAATCAACCGAGTAATTGATTAATTTCAAATTATCGAATATTCCTCAAGTTATTATTTTATGGACATGAAAAAAAGGACCAGAAATTTCTCTCTCCATTTTTTTGTGGTGAAACAAATTTCTTGGTGATTGCCACGAGCTAGCCATTAATTTCAATTAAGGAAGAGCCGTATTGATGATTGAGAGTCGCGTTGATTGTTGAATT